TTGCATTAACTCCCGTGCTACTGGTAAACTTACCAAGTTTATGAATGCTCAGTAAAAATGACTGCTGTATCCATTTTTATCTGCCAATGATAGTTCCCTAGATATCCTAGCAAGAACCAACTTCAAAGTAAAACCTGTAATGCATATTCACTTCCTCTCTAACTAACAAAACCCTTTCAGTGCTTCAATAAAGAGTGATGAAGCTCAGAGACACTGAAAGAAAGTACATAAAACAACAACACATAAAATATGTTAAAAACATTACTGAGGGTCTATGAGAAGGGGCAGCCGAAGATAACCCACAATAGGTCCAATGTAAAATAAAAATGAACAGGGATCTCCAGATTCCAAAATTACAATGTGTCTAATGTATAGCTTCCCTTACGTTCATCTTGTATGTGGTGGGAAGCATGGTGATAAAAAACTGACAAGGTGCAGGTTGAGTGGCCTCCCACCCCTTCTTACTCGCATCACTCGTCGTATGGAGAATAATAAGCAAGGGTGGGATTCCGAAGCTTTCTAAGCAAAATAGAGGACCCTAAAAAAAAAATCTTCCCACTCAAATATTCTTACTTTAGAGGAGAAAAGACAACAAATTTTAGAACAATTTAATAAATACAAACAAAATGAAAAGTCCTTTTTCAGTGAAGAATCTCCCTTATTGAATGGTATTGTATCTCTGCATGTACACAGCTCTTTGTATCCATCACATTGATTGTGGCTGTGTGTACATTTTATAAGTATATCTGTCGTACCTAGTTCTGTGAATCCATCGTAGTGATCCCGTGTGTTTGCGTTTACTTTTATGTGAATAACTCTGACAGAATTCTTGTCAAAATACAGTTGTTAAAACACCAGTGACCTATGAGTCAGTTAAATGTGAGACTTCTCTCTGTACACAAACCAGACTTGTCAAATGATGTAGGGATACCATGTGACAGTTTTTTTTCAAAGGGCGTGGAATAAAAACATTGTACATATAATACTTTTTGGAAGCTGATTGCATATATAAGAGACAGGATTAGAAATTGGTGAAATTTTGAAGTAGAGATTTGGTGAGTTACAAGATAATGCTATTTTACGTGTAATGCTTATGATAAATAATATACATTAATGGGTTGCATTAAATAGGTTTTAGGCTGCAGAAACAAAAGCACCACTATTTAAAAGCGTGGTATGATCACTTTAATTGAAATAGTCTTATTTTGGGGATAGCGAAATCTTAAAATAAATGCCATTAACAAACAATAAAAACATGACATCACCATTGTATTATATCATTTAAATTAATTTATGGTCGGGAAATATACATATATAATATGCATAATCCTTAAATTGATTGGCATGTTATGCATGGGGAATTTAACACATTCGTATATTCAGATTTTGTGGGCATTCATTTAAGTTTACTATGGTGTGTGAGCATTTTAACAACTGCTGCATTGTCACATTGAAACAGGAAGCAATTGCTGTGTGATGTGTCTTTGGTTCGTGTGTCTGTGAATGCATGTCAAACTATGACTGTTAGCATGTTAGTGTGTCTGCGTATGTGTATTTAAGTTACTTTGATTGCATGTTAGTGTGCATCTGTGTATGCGTGTTAGTGTATGTCTGGGTTAATGTGAGTCTATGATTGCATCTTAGTATGTGTCTATCTATGCATGTCAGTGTGTGTTTATATATGTTTGGCAGTGAGTTTCAGTGTGTGAGTGTGTAACTGTGTATGTTTGACTGTGTGTATGTGTTAGCGTGTATCTATACATGCATGTCAATATGTGTATTCATGTTAGACTGTGTCTGTATGCAGGCTTGTGTGTGTGGGAAGATTTTGCTTATTATGTTGGGGTGTGTGGCATGTTATGTATGTGTGCAAGAGGGGCATTTATGTATATGTGTATATGTACATGCGGCTAGTTATATCTTAGTGAATGGATTACTCTTTATATATGTTCAGTTAAAAGTGTCTAGTTAGGTATATGTAAGTAATTGTATATGGTTAGAGGACTGCAGAGTATTCTCTCCGAGGGCCCTGGGCATGGTAAGTGTGGTTCTTTCTGGGCAATTCACTCTTAAACGAATAGCCCTGACTGCTTTTATACATGTATATTAAATATAATAATATATATGTATTATGTGATTTAAAATATAATAAAATGTTCTTTTCATATATTCCCTCTCTCCTTTCCTGTGTTTCTAAATCTGATTCAGTCTTTTTACATATAAAAATAAATTATATATGTCTTTTTTTAAAATTCTTCCTTTTTTTTCCCCACAAGACTCGTTGTCATCATGTGGAATCCAAACCACTGTAAGTAACATTTTAAATACATATAAACAGTTTTCCAGGAAGTGTAAGGGGGTCTGTGTGAGTGTAAGCCAAGGGAGGTGGGACTAGAGCTCCATAAAGTGAGTTAACTCCTAAATGGCAGAGACTTCATTAAGCCAAACTTGTTTTGATTTTTTTTTTTTTTATTATTCTTAGAGTGCCTCTTTAATAAGCAATTTAAATAGGACACATCCTTTTTTTTTTCAGGCCCTCCTCATGGACAACCCCCCCATGGACAACCAGGTTGCCCAACGGGAGGACATGTTCATCCCTGCCCACCTGTGCACCCTGGTCCACATGGACACCACCATCCTCCTGGACATCACCATCCTCCTGGACACCACCATCCTCCTGGCCACCATCATCCACATGACCCCCATCATCCTCATGGTCACCATGGCCACCATCACAAATAACCTTGTGTAAAGGTAAGTTTGACTCCATCTCTATAACTAACAACTTTTTTTATATAATAAATATATAAACACCATGATAACCATATTTAAAAAAATAAAATTTCCCAAGTGTCTTTGGATTCTCCTTTCTCTCATATGTTCAGGAGCTAGATATCACATCTCATCACATGCCTCAATGTTTAAAAGTTAAATGGTTTCTGGGAGTATGCAACAACAAATTTACAGTGTAGTGGAAGTGGTGTATAACTACACTGAGAGCAAAGTAAATTATACCCAAATGGAAGACTGACAGTGTCACAGTACATATAAAAATGTATGCATTATTTGTTTTAATTAATTATACAATATATATATATTAACCTTAGAGTAAGATGGTGAAATAGAGAAGAGCATGCAGTGTTTGAGGCTGACAGAAAGCTTTGTGCTTTTTTATGCATCTTCAAATTAGTGACAATTGGGGATTTTTTTTAGAGAAGTGGAAACTGGGGAAAAGTCATAAGTGGTAAGTGAATCTTGGAGGTGGAGTATTGAATGATAATTGGCAAAGTTAGTTGGCAGAGCGTAGGACATAGTGTTATGGTAGCAAACAGAGATTATATTTACTCTTGGACATTTGTAGAGGGCTCTAAAATTGTGTTTTGGGTCCAAGGACCCTTCTTTCTCTGGAAAAGGCAAGGGGAGTTTCAGAGTGTTTAAAGAAAAAAAGATGTTACTTTAAGTACTGTTTTACTGTAACTGATCTTGAATCTTGTAAAACTATGCACAATGTAAGATACCTCTTCCCCAGACTGAGAGCTTAAATATTTATTGTTAAGGACAAAATAATAGGAAATTTGTGTTTTCCTATTATGTTTATTGATAGTGTGGTGATTTGGAGTGTCTTGCAATGGATGCTTGTTATGTAATTTCATAGTTTAATTAAAAAACTATTACTTAAACACATACCTGTGATACATCATATTGGGAAGGTAATACTACCTCTCTGCAGGTACAAGAGCTAGCATTGGATGCATATGCTATACAACTCTACTTCTACTCTTTACCTGATTCACCCTACATAATGAACAGTACTCACACCATGTGCTGAACTGCATTAAATTCCCTGCTGGTTATGGTTTTATGGGGTTTACTCAGCAACCAATTAACATATCAGGAATACCAGGATTGCCAGAGCCACATGTTGGTCTTGGCAAAGTTCAATGTAGAATTTTCTTCACAGTTTGCAGAGAGTATAGGCTATTTGAAGATTACTTTCTTTTCATTATACATTTTCATAATATTTATTTTTTGCATTATCGGTAAGGCTCTGTTCAACCTGTAGTATCTCTTCTAACATGAGGAGGTTAAATGTACATGAGGAAGCAACCCCTCACAACTTTACCTACTTTATTCCTTACCTTGTGGTAGGTAATGTGGTCCCTGGAGGTCCAGTGATGGAGCATTGTGGTCTATTAGAAGCAGATCAATTTAAGGTCTCCCTTGCAGTTCCAGTTGCCTGCGGCCTGGGCCAGCCTTGGAACTAGCAGTAGTCCTGGAAAAAATGGAGATCCTGTACTTCAGTCTGCTCGGGCATGCTACATGTAGTGACAGGCAGGAGGGGAGTGCAGTGCTAAGCAATTGCGCCCAAGGGCCAGTGCACCCTAGGCGGCTGTGCACAGGCCCTGAAGGTATGGGGGCCAACTGGAAAAGATGGGCTAGTCTGGCCCTGGCTGTGGCACTTAGAGACATTAATAAGTTCAGTGGCTTACGAATAAAATAATAGAAGAATCAGTATTGGCAGAGCCACTTCCTGGTCTTTTAAAAGTTCACAGTAGAAGTTGAAACACGTAGAAGGATTGTAGAACATGCAAAGAAAAGTGCACTTAAAGACCATCATGCAAAACCAAGAAATCATCCTGATAAAAATGGGAAAATCAGGATTTATTAAGAAAGCACAGCAATATCATATATCCATTTATTGTTCGTTGCAAATCTCACAGATTCTGGGGATAGGGTACATTGACAGGTAAGTATTTTTATATATTTCTTTTAAGCATTATCGCTATTATACATTGTTCATTATACAAAGGTAGTCTACTATCGACCGTTTGTTCAAATGTGTGTTAAATAAAAATAGCTAAATTACAGTGAGAAAGTTAGAAGAGAGGGAAGTACATTCTTATTTAATTATCACCACTTGCTCCACCTATTTTCTCTGTGTTATAAATTAGGTAAGAGTAATATGCAAAACTCACCAAAATGGTTGTGTACCCGAGGCACTGAAATTGGACAGCTCTGAATGTAATTACTTTTAATTATTCCTATGTATAGGAAATCCTATAATCTCTCTTAATACTAATTTGTCTTTTTTCCCTCTAGCTACAAAAACCTAGGCGTGGATGCAGCTCACACTGATTACCAAAAGAAAGAAAATGTGATAATACCTGATTACTTCTCCAACTTTTACTACACAAATATGTTTCCCTTCATCACTTAATCCCTTTTCATTAATACTCTGTATAACAAAGAAAGAAGTCACATAACAATAAAGACAAAATGGCTATATTTGTTTATGAGCTTTATTGTATACACATGTATACCTGTATAATTCACAAAAGGTACAAAGAAATATAAATAAATAACTAAATAATAAATAAATAAATAAATACATATATGTTTTATACACATATAATAGATTGTTCTGTTTCTTTTTATATTTTATTTATTTATAAAATATTTTACCAGGAAAGATACATTGAGATTTCTCTCGTTTTCAATACTTTAAACATAGTTAAATCATAATAAAGTTGCTTGATGTAGACTGTAAATTTGGGTGCAAGGCTTTCAAATTCTAACGTTTCAGCTTTTTACTTTCTCGCTGTTCTGTTATTAAATAATTTGCCGATTGTCTTCTATGATGTCGAATTTTGGCACTGCTATAGCAAAGTAAATGATCTTTTTTAATATTATTTTTAACCAGATGCAACACAAGTTAAACACTACTATCTTACAATGGGTGAGAATTGTTAACAAAAAAGTGAGATAAATGCCAGAAAACAGAGAAGGAAGAGAAGAAAGAAGGGATAAAAGAAAACATAAAAGAAGGGAGCCATCTTGTGCAGAGCTGCAGATTTAAGAAGAGCAAGATAACCCAACTTCCTAACTTTGTGTATACCTTTTTTATTTAATTGTAAAGTCATTCATAGGAATTAGTTTTAATACATGATAAATAAAGTTTTCTTTTAAATGTATATTATATATTTGTAAGAAACGGCAACACTATTAGTTCAGTCTAGGCATGGCCAAGGCACACAATGCAAATAAAGAGGATAACAAACATTATTTTTGTTTATTCTCTTTAACTTATATATATATATATATATATATATATATATATATATATATATATATATATATAGGTGAGGGATATATATAGGTGAGGGATAATAACATAATAGTAAAAATATACTTTTATTTTAGATTCATGGATTTATATAAAGTATTTCCTATCTCCTAAAATTAGATACTGTACATACATTTTTTTTTTATTTAACATAATCTGTATTTCATTTTTGTTCATCATATAAAAAAAAAAAAAAGCTTATATTACAAACATTTCGTCTAAGATATAAATCATAAAACAAAACTACAAACACTTTACAAGACATACTACATTACAGCATATAGGAATATTGACTTAGTTCTCTGAACAGAGTATTTATCTGATCTCCATATTTTGAATAAATTAAATACCATACAAGGTATTAAAGGGCAAATATGAATAATTTCTACAAAAGTGTAAGTGCCTTCTGAAGACAATTTTCTCTTCATTTTTTTATTCTTAACTGAAGAGTTTTTTATCCAACCTACACCATTTTCCATCTTTAGTTGGAATATAAATTGATCTTTCTATTGTATATATTCAATTTTGATAAATTGTTTCTATCCTCTCGCTATCAAATTAGTTACAGCCATAAGGCCATTAAAGGCCAAATAATATTGTGATGGTCTTACAGTTGGCCAACCAAGTTGTCATAATGCTAACATAAGGGTTTTGTCAATTTTAATCTTATCAATTTTATATAGACCAATCCCAGAGTTTTGTAATTTTCGGGCAGCTCCACCATATGTGTAGATAACTACCAACCACTCCTATAAATCTCCAGAAATCCTTGAAGCATTAGGGTATATTCTATTTAATCTTGTTGGTATGATGTACCACCTCTTACATATTTTGTAAAAGGCTTCTTTTAGAGATACATTAAGAATTTTTTTATTTAATTTAAAATACACTAGTCCCAAACAATGGGATTAATTTTAATACTAAGCCCTGTTTCCCATTTTATTAACCTTTTTATATTGTTTAATTTTAGATGTTTACATAATTAGAGTATAGCACTTAGATAAGAGTTTTGAAGTTGCCATTGGGTCAAAGACCTGTTTCATAAAAGTGTCATTTTTTGGATCCTTCATAAAAATGTTTAGATATATGTGATTTGATCCTTAAGTAATTGATTATTTCAGAATTAGGAAGGTCAAATTCTAAGACTAAAGATGCAAAAGATTAAATTCCCCCCTCCTTCATGATGTTATCCACAACCATAATATTTCTATCTCTCCAATCATCCAATGTTATATCATCCATGAGGAATTCTAGTATTTCTAGTTCCATAAAGCAATATATATTACCACTACACTTCATTATTTTTTTCATCCTAAACTATATTGGAAAGATATGAGTTAAGATCTTATTTCTTTATATCAAATAACCATTTTCATGACAAATACGTTTAATCCAGTAAATCACCTCAGAGAAAAATGTAAAAAATAAACAATAAAGATACAATCTATATATAGTATAGTAGATAGAGCTTGTCCCTCTAGAGGTGCAACTGGAAGTAGATTAAGAAATATTCCTCATAGAAACCATGATGCTTAGAGTGCTTAATGGTATATCTATGGACAGATTATTAGAGTATAGAGCTGTCAAAGAATTAAGATGAAGGAAGATAGAGGGTATAGTTAAAGGAGTATACTGTATATAAATCTTGCAGTGAAAATAATTATCAATACCTCACTTCCTATGTCCATCTAGACAGTAATGGAGCAAACTAAATAGAATGTTATAAATAACGAGAAAAACCCACGTGAGGCAGGTCTAATACCATGCCTTGCCAAGTGTTAAGTGCCCATTAAATAAAAATAATAAAAGGAACGCCTGACACGCGTTTCGGTGCTTTAAGGGAAACCTCCACCTCCTTGTATGTTAACTATAGTGGCGAACAAAAGAGTATCAGTATGTACCCTGATCATATCATGTACAAATGAAACAAAACGGATACACTTAGCAGTTTGATGTAAAGTGTATCTCTCTTGTACAAGGATTTGATACATTATTGTACCAAAAGTTAAAGAAATGTGTAAATAAAATGGTCCCTTCCTATATTGATTATGATAGGATCATAAAAATTATACTGATACTAAATCAAAGAGAAAGGGACTCAAGATTTATAATAGTCATATTTATTTTAGTTTACACATATTAGTGAAAAAAATTTTTTAAAGCAATACAGAAAGGTAGGAGAAGAGGGATTGTCAGATCCTCATTTACTTTTACCTTAACGCTCAATGTAACTATGATATTTTACTATCTAGACAAATGATACATAGGGGATAGGGAAAGAAGTATGGGGGGATAAATCAGAAATATATATGAGTATTGTCTATAATGACATTAAATAGGGGGTATGAATCTATATAGTATAAGACACAACTTAAAGGGAAATCTCAAAAAAATTAATATCTTACAACACAATAAAAGTAGACAACTAGAACTACTAATTTATATTATATACAAGTGTATCTGGTCAAAAGATCAAAAAAGTATATACTTAAATGGTGGAAGAGAGAAAATAATAGCAAATAAACTAATCAGAGATAAATGGTGTATATGAAAAACCCTCGTTGAGACCCAGAGGTGAGAGAGTTTTTAATTTATATATCCAAAACTCTCTCTTTGTAGCAGTTTTTTATCAAGGTCGCCTCCTCTGGGTCCAAGTGTGACTCTTTCTATGCCGCAGAAGTTTATTACTTCTGTATTACTTCTGCGGAGCCCCCATGATGTAATTTAAGATGTTTAGAGATGGGGGTGTCTACTAATCTCCTCAGGTTGACTGAGGTCACATGCTCGCGAATCCTACATTTGAAGGCTCGAATGACTTTGCCCACATATAGTTTTTTACACGAGCATGTTAGTAAGTAGATAAGGCCTTTAGATTGACAATTTAAAAAAGTTTTGAGATTAAAGTCATATGTGTTCGTAGAGTCAGAAAGTTTTTAGTTTTTTTGAGGGACGGAGAATGAATTTACAAGCTTTGCATCTGCCACATTGATATGTGCCAGATACCGGAGATTTAAGCCATGTGGATTTATTTGAGGGGGTTTTCAGATGACTTGGTACCAACATAGCTTTAATATTTCTTCATCTCCTTGCTGTTACAGAGGCATGTGGTGTTATGACTTTCTGTAAATGTGGATTCTGGAGTAAAAGTAGCCAAAATCTCCCAAGAATATTTAGTATTGGATGCCAACTTTTGGCACAATAATGTATCAAATCCTTTTACAAGAGAGATACACTTTACATCAAACTGCTAAGTGTATCCGTTTTGTTTCATTTGTACATGATACGATCAGGGTACATACTGATACTTTTTTGTTCGCCACTATAGTTAACATACAAGGAGGTGGAGCTAGCCCTCACGTCACCTAGTGTCTATTCCATCATGTGGGCGGATTTGGATATTTTGATTGACATTTACCCTATTACCGCCCATCTACAAATCGTAAGCATGTTAGCCCTGCCCATCGGAGGATTTGGTGCGAGATTTAATAACAGAGTGACAGAGGAGAAACTAATACCGGACACACCTCTGTGAATACACCAGTTTGATTGGAGGGTTGATGACTTAGATACTGGGGATTAAGGTATATAAGACCTCTCTTTTTAGCAGTTTGTTTGCCTCTGACGAAGGTGCTTCATTTACAGCTACAAAACGCGCGTCAGGCATTCCTTTTTTTATTTTGATTTAATGGGCACTTAACACTTGGCACGGCATGGTATTAGACCTGCCTCACATGGGTTTTTCTCGTTATTTATAGCATTCTATTTAGTTTGCTCCATTACTGTGTAGATGGACATAGGATGTGAGGTATTGATAATTATTTTTACTGCAAGAGATATATGCAGTATACTCCTTTACTTATACCCTCTATCTTCCTTCATCTTAACTCTCTGACAGCTCTCTACTCTAATAATCTGTCCATAGACCAATGAGCACTCTAAGCATCATGGTTTCTATGAGGAATATTTCTTAATCTACTTCCAGTTGCACCTCTAGAGGGACAAGCTATATCTACTATACTATATATATTGTATCTTTATTGTTTATTTTTGTCATTTTTCTATGTGGTAATTTACTGGATGAAAGATAACTAACCTATCCATAACTACTTGTGATTACATGTAGCAAATTAATAGACCTCTCAAATAGAGGATCTTTTTGACAATTTGATAAGTTGGGATAGGCATTTCAATATGGAGTGTCTTTTGTAATACCGCAAACCCCACGAACCGCCGCAGCTTG